AGGCGACGGGTTCTGCCATCTGCAAAATCAAACCGAATGAATTGTCATTGGTAAATCAATTTAAAATCCCCCAACTTGTTTAAATAATCCCCCAAATCTTAATACCGTGCCACTCACCGTTCAAAAAAGCTAAAATAAAAAAAACCGGGATAACACGCACTGCACAGCAACAAAACAACACTTTATTCTGCTTACCAGTACAGTATAAACAGATATACAACTAACAAACTGAGCGTTTTTACTGCTCTTGGCCGATTCGTCAAATGGCAAATAATAGTCAACATACCTCGAGTACGCACTCGCAAAACATTCAATATAACAATATAAGTATGCCTAGTCAACCTCAAAGCCAGCTAAAAGACAAAATACAACAGGTTAGTACTACGTGACTCGGACTGTTTTCTTTCGGTGAATTCTAAAGTCAAAAGAAAAAACTTCAAAATGGTCAACTTGATATTATTCGCGATACTTTGACCTTAGAAAATATATTAAACTAGTAGATTAATCCTTGATTTCAAAATTTGCTTGGATGATTCAATGTTGATTGTAATTAATTATCAAAAAAAAATCAATAATTTAGTTTCGTTTGTGTTTTAATCAATCAATCTAATTTATTCACATAGAACTCTTTGGACGAGAAAAAACAAAAGAAAGTAGTTCAGCATGGTCACAAACGAAAATTAATGGAGAACGAAAAAGATAAACAAAAGGCAGAATACGAAAGTTCAAGGGTAAGCAGAAACTTCATGTTCAAGATTGTTCGTACGGCAGGGAAATTTAAATATATCACTTATGCACTTATATCACAATCGTAGAACGAATTAAAGAGTCTTTTGTCGCAATATGGCACAAAAGCAAAAGTCGCCGATGATCTAGAAAAGGATACAACAAAACTTCGTGGGAGCATCGAAAATTTATTAGCAAGAGTACAATCGAATAAATGCAACAAGGACAACAAGGTTTGTTTTTTTTTTTATTCGTTATATTTACTGCGCCACACGATTGCGTCATGCTAAATTTACCTTTATTTTTCTAGCCAATTTCACCAACACCACCACCACCACCATCATTATCACCACCACTATCATTATCACCACCACTTCAGTCACAACAAGTAATAGTAAAACCGAAAACCGCAGATTTCCCGCTAAGCCTATTGAATACCCTCATAACGTCCATTCTGCTTCCTTTCGACATAATATTAAATATAATACGAAGATTGTTTCGCGGTATAAATAACTGTACAGTAATTCTAACTTTCATATTATTGATAGAGTGCTTTATTCTTTTGCTTATTTGGGCGTAAGTAATCAATGATTTTATTATCTTTGCTATTTGTTAATATGTATCAACCATTAATTAACCATCAATTAACCAACCATTTAATAGGGTCAAGAAATCGCACCACACATATCTTTACATTGAACCATATGAACCAGTTGTACATGGAACTTTTGGAATCGACCAACCCGCATCTATGGGTATAATGTGTTCGATGGTAAATTCTGTAAAAGACTTTTTTGCCGAAGTGATCAATGGAGGTCGCGGGTTCGGCAATCCTAATTATGATGGCTTCGTGCCAATATAATATACGTACATAGTACATAATAGATCCTCACTTAATGATCTAATACAAGGACAATTTGGTTTTTAATCTTAGAAAGAGAATAATCTTAATTGTTTTGTGTTGATTTTGGTAGAGGTTTCTCTTTTTCTTTGTACATATTGTTTTTTTTGTTTAAATAATTTTTTCTTTCGATGTATTTTTTTTTTTTTTTGTTAGATTTTTTTTTCCTTTTAATTGCACACTTACGCATTTGCACAGTACAAAAAAAAACACTCACACACAATTAAAAAATTATGCATACAATTCACCAACCTAATGCACATTTTGTTTACGAATATTTTTCAATAAAATTGAAAAATTTTAAACACAATTCACTTTATCTTTAGGAAATAATTCAATAATTCGTTCTCATTTCTGTACTTAGGTATGTATAAAAATTTACTTATATTCTATTAAATTTCATTGATTTCTTTGAATCGAATATCTTAAATTTCGGTTCAAAAATGAATTCAATCTCCCCTTGTGCCCGGACCAATTCATTTTTCTAATTTGGTTAATTTGGGCTATCCGGGGAGTAAAAACAAACAACGGATATTACAACACTCTAATGATTTCAGATTGTATCATTGATGAGTCACTCATATCCGTACAAATTTTCATTTTTAGTTATAAATTCCTTATTTGCACGAAAACTATTCTTGCTTTAGAAAACGGTTATCAAAAAATAAAGTTATCAAACAAATAGGGCGTCGATATTTTTAAAGAACAAACATTATCGCTATTGATTAAAACAAACAAATTTGACAATCATCATTATTAGCTGACGTAGTTTACAATAAACATAATACGTACTCGGTGGCGTTTTAATTGTTTTAATTGACAAATTTTGTGCGCGTGACGTTTGTTTCCTTTTTTAAATTTACTTTTAATGTCCATTATTGGATATCGTTTTAAGTATGATCTGCGCGCGGCTGATTTTCTACGGCCGTTGAAAGGGTTGCGTATAATATATTTTATCGAATTTATTATACTTAATTAAAAGTATTAAAATTTGATGTTTTCTTTATTGTCATAAACTATTATAGGATGTTACAAACTTTTAACGATTTTATAAATTCAGGTTTTTAATATTGTAATAAAAAAAAAATTTCATATATTATAAATGTTTTATAATTACAACTATATATTTTATTATACTGTATAAAGGAGTATTTTTATATATTGTTCTAATTAATTGTAATAAATAATTCTTTAAGTACTATAATTACTACATACTGTATAAACCCTTTTAACATTTTTTACTTCCTGACTCTAAATCATTATACGCATTAATATAAAGCATTTAATATAATAAAATTACGTATTTAGACATTTTTTAAAATACGAAAGGCAGTTTTATAATATAATTTAATTAGATAATTGTGTAAATATAATTATATACTGTATATAATTTGTTAAAATTAAAATATTTATTTTTTAAATTGTTGATAAATGAGGTTTTTGTCTTGAAAATCACGTTATATAGCTATAGAACATATGATTTACTAAGTCCTATAACGTGATTTTCAAGGCAAAGATTCTATAAACAAATTTTACTTTTAATTATAATTTATTTTTGAAATGATTTGTTTAAAATAATATATTATTTTGATTTGAGCAAATTTTATTTTTTTTTAATTATAACATTTTTATAATATCCAAAGTTAATTTACTGTAATTTAGAATCAAAATTAAAAAAAATATTTAATAAAATATAGTATACAGTATATATACGGTATTATATATTGATATTAATTTATTTTAGTAAAAAGATAATACTTTTATATCTAAAAATTTAAAAATAGTAAACGTGGTTATTAATACCAAAATTTATCTAGACGTATTAACATTGAGTATTTAAAAAAATATTTTTATAAGTATACAGTATATATTATTATAATAATTAAAGACTTTTACTAACACGCACCTATAGTGTTTTATATCTATACATAAATTATTTTAAAAACTAACTAATTAATCAATTAATCAATGCAAGATATCCTAAGTAAAAATACTTTACATTTCTAAAAACTTCTTAAATCAAATTCTAAATACAAATACTACAGTAACACCAATATAAAAATTTGTGTTGAAAACTTTTATAATCAAAACTTAAAAAATCTAGAAAAATATAATAAAATATACAATAGGTACAAAACCACCATGGATATGTTTTATAATAAATAATATATATATACTTTCATGTGTGAGATATATAATACGATGTTAAGTTTATCTTAAGGATAAATTAGTTGTTAATCTAGTAGTATTGCGTAGATTTGCAGGTATAAGTAGTAAGGTTACATCTAAGCTAAAACATAGGTATAGTAAAGATTGTAACCAGAAAGTTTAAATAGATAATCTAGTTTGGGTTGCAGGTATAAATACTGTATCTAGTATAGATGATGCCAAAAACACAGTGGCTAGTTGTATTTTTATTACAATTGTAATATACCTTAAATTCTAATAATAAATCACCAACCAAGAAGTTATTTAAATAATAATAATAATAATAAAATATTATAGTTAGAGTATATTTATTTACTGCTTGCTAATAGTTTTAGGCTAGTTGGTTAGCTGCATTGTTGAAGATATCATCCTGATATGCATTAACTTTGTGAAATATAATATTTAAGTTGTAGAATTTAGAAAAGTTTAAAAAAGTGTTTCAGACAAACCAGTAAGAAGTATTTATAAAGTTTATAGTATGAGTATTGTGTGAAAAATTATGGAACTTTGAGATAACTGATTGGGAATTTGTAAAGATTTGTATAGTACAGTTTCTAGGAGCAGTGCAAATAGCTAATGTTATTGCTATAAGTTCTACTTTGTATGAGCAAGGCTAGAGTTTAATTTTAGCTTGAAAGGTATAGAGTATAGTTTGATTTTGTATTTGTAACTATCTGATACTCATAGAGTATTGAGAGGTACCTATATTTGTAACAGAGCTGTCAGTATAAAAGTTAAGATTAGAGGCATTTTGATTGTAAGTAGCTATTGATTGAAGAGTTTGAGTAGCTTCACTAAGTATGAAGAAGGTTAGTATTTAAGATTGTTCAATAATAAGTGTGAGAAGTAGTGAAATAGGAGTAACATTTGAAATTAGAATTGAGTATATAAGGTCTTGGTAGTTGGCATGGAAATTAATTGATTTGTCTATATTAAGTTTACCAAAAAACTTTGTTGCAAGATTTGTGTAAATAAAAATAGTATATTTATTAGCTAATAAGTTAGTATTAAGTGGAAAAGATGAAAGGGATATAGAAGCAAGTAGGTATAGTTGTATTGAGTAAATAAGATTGTTGCATTGCTAATGAGTAATGAGTATATAACTAGTTGTTGTATATTGGTATTGGGCTTTATCAACAACCAGTTAGTTATTGAGTAAAGAGATTAGCCAAGGTTTAGTATGTTGGTAGAAGTGGCAGTACTATAGCTATAGTAGTTAGTAGATAGAAGATTAAAGTGTGAATGAATAGGAGAACTAGAAATAGAAATATTTTCTAGTATAGGTATTCTGCCTTTTAAAATTTTGTTTAGTCTTGGTAAAATGTGTTGCTATTCAAGCAGACAAAGATTGTTAGATGTAGTAAGCTAGTCAAGAAAAAGTAGATAATAGTGCCAAAGTTGTTTTTAAAAGTAGGATATTGAGGGTAAAAAGCAAGAATTAATTTAAGTAAGGTTGAACCTTCCTAGATTGTAAAAGGAATGGAGGTGTTGGGGTTGGGGCTAATTATCCAATTAATATATTTGAGAAGCTGAATGATTAGTAGTGTTTTTATCAGAGCCTTTAATTATAGAATTGAAATGAAAAAAAATGTTTATAGGAAACCAAAAATTGTTTTGTAGTTGTTGAATACAAATAAGCGTAGAAGTGCCAAGAAGATGATTATTGTTGAACCATTTAATAAAGTTAGAAATATGATGTTGCAATTGAATATTCTAGATATTTTTAATATTGTAAATTTATGGATGAAGTAGAGTACTAGTGGATATAGTGCAGCTAAGTTTGGCTCCGTGCTTAACTAGACCAATATAGTGTATAAAGATTTTATTACAAGCTGTTTGGCTAAAAACAATATTCTGTAAGTAATATTCAATAGTAGGTATAATAGCTGTATTAATAATATAGCAGACTTGTGTATTTGTAATTTTTTTAGGACTAATTGTTTGAAAACTCATTTGTAATTTGTTGTATTTGTTTTGATTGTTTGTTGTCAAGTGTAAACCAACACAAAAAAAATTTGAGTAGTTGGTGTGATAGTTGTAGTAAAAGCATTTGGTTATTGAAGATAATTGGATAGTAAAAATTAAAGATTAAGTTAGTGGTAAGAACTGATTTGTTTAGGTTTACTTGGATATTAGCTATGGAGTAGAAGGATTCTGCAAATAAAATTATTTTGGCTAGTTCTGTGTATAAGGATGCAACCCATAGAATGTTATCTATATAAGCAAAAACCAAGCCTGGTTTTAAATTGGTTGGTTAAAAAGTTTTTAAGCTAGTAAACTATGAACTTTGTATTTGATATCTAGGTATAGTAAAATATATATAGGAAATAAGAGAGTTATAGTAAATATGCCAAAATAATGATGTGATTATTTCTTCTTAATCAATTCTATCTTGCACAAGATAAGAGGATATAAGGCCAAGATTAGTAATAATATCATTATGGCGACCAATGAACAGGTTGAAGATTGTATTAATAATTGAAGCAGGAAGTGCAAAGCATGAAAAATCATGATGCAGAAGAGTAGAGTTGACAAAGTCATAGGCCTTGCTCATGTTTTGAGACAAGAGCCAGATTTCTTTATAGTTATAGCTTGCATCTTCAATAAGGTTGTTGAGAATATGTATAAAAATAGAAGTACTATTGCCTGAGAGAAAATAGAATATTAAAAGAAAATGTTAGTGGTCGTACCCAGATAACTCTTTATCCGAAAGAGTATACCCTTTAATAAAATCCAATAACCAGTTTTATATC